TTGTGCTGAACGAGGAGATGAGAGTTTCTCTGTCTTCAAATCAAAGCGCTGTCTAGGCTGCCCCCTCCCTAAAAGGCTGAGGACACAAATGCAGGACGCACAGCGACCCACACGCTGCCTTGCGCATAAAAAATCCAATTGCGCTCAATTTTTCAAGATTTGGGAGGACACGGGGAGGACGGGACAAATCACTCCCTGCTTGGTGCTTCGCAGCTCATACCATTGTTTCCTTCTGGAACATCTCCTTCCATGGGCGGACCTCTTGCGCCGCTCTCACTGCAACCTCCCTCTGCAGATTCCTCACCACGGTGTTGATCTTTCTGCCTCCCGACTCCAGGCTGGCCTGAATCCTGGCGAGAGACGAGGAGAAGCAAAAGCTACGATTTCCCCCATGTGCAAAAGCAGGCTGGCCGCTTGAAACCTTGCGGCAAAAGGCAGCGCCGTCTAGCAAAGTTGGCAGGATAGCTTGGACGGCGCATGTGTGCGCTATGCACAGCTCTGGACTCAAACAGATGGGAAGCGGCCCAGGAGATAATAATAATAATAATAATTATAATATATTATTATTATTATTATTTTTACCCCGCCCATCTGGCTGGGTTTCCCCGGCCACTCTAGGCGGCTTCCACAAAGACCAAAAAACACTAATATGTCATACATTAAAAACTTCCCTGAACAGGGCTGCCTTCAGATGTCTTCTGAATGGACAGGTTAGTTATTATTTATTTATACCCCACCCATCTGGCTGAGTTTCCCCAGCCACTCTGGGCAACTCCCAATCAAGGGTTAACACAATAAAGCATTAATATTAAAAACTTCCCTAAACAGGGCTGGCCTTCAGATGTCTTTTAAAGAGAAGGTAGTTGCTTATTTCTTTCACATCTGCTGGGAGGGTGTTCCACAGGGCGGGCGCCACCACCAAGAAAGGCCCTCTGTCTGGTTCCCCTGCACCTCACTTCTCGCAATGAGGGAACCGCCAGAAGGCCCTCGGCACTGGATTTCAGTGTCTGGGCAGAACGATGTGGAGAGTTCACGTAAAAGCAGACATGAGGGTCTAAGTCTGTGCCACCGAGACTGTGGGTGAGGGCCCAACCTGATATCCCTCACACAGTAAAACTAGCATGGTCCACAGGAGAGGACAGGCCGCTTCTCCCTGATGTGCTAGATTTCTAAGTGCGAGGGGCTTCCGTCGTCCAATTCAAGGAAAGAAAGCCATCTACGTGGGCCTCCCATCTCAACTGGAGGATGGCAAGCTCGACAGGCCGGATGGTACGCCACACGCTCCCCTCGGCGTGCCTTCGGCAGAGGAGCTAGCTAGGGCTGCAATTCTTGGAGGGGCCTCAGGGAAGTGGTCTCAGGCCAAGGCTCACCTGCGACACAACGTCCTCCATGTTGCGCCGGAGCTGCTCCATGTTGTGCCCTGGTACCTCCTGCCGCACCCGGTCCTAGCTCCCGGTCGTTGACTGGCCACCTCCCTCCTTCCAGCGGCCCCTTCAGGGCCAGTCAGGCTCCCTCCAATCCGCTGGCGCAGGTGGTCCTCCAACATTCTGCCGGCGGCCCTCAGAACCTCCTCCAGCTCCTCTCTGGTCTCCAGCAGCTCCTGGGGAAAGAGGGGCAGAACTGGCTCTCAACCCATCGGCTCAGCCTTGCCAGGCCGGCTCCATCAGGCACCTTCTGGCACTGAATTGGACCAGCGTTTAGAGCTTGACTTTTTCCCTCTTCCTCCGTGTCCCTTTTTCCTTGTGTGTTGTGGTTGTTCTGTGGTCGGTGGTTGTTTTTAAGATTATAAGTTTGATTTATAAGGGACCGTCAAACATAAGCCACTCTGCTAGCCATTTTGGATGAAGAGCAAGGGTGAAGGTAAAGGGACCCCTGACCATTAGGTCCAGTCGTGGCCGACTCTGGGGTTGCGGCGCTCATCTCGCTTTACTGGCTGAGGGAGCCGGCGTACAGCTTCCGGGTCATGTGGCCAGCAGGACTAAGCCGCTTCTGGCGAACCAGAGCAGCGCATGGAAACGCCCTTTACCTCCCGCCGGAGCAGGACCTATTTATCTACTTGCACTTTGATGTGCTTTCAAACTGCTAGGTTGGCAGGAGGCAGGGACCGACCAATGGGAGCTCACCCCGTCACGGGGATTCGAACTGCCGACCTTCAACAAGTCCTAGGCTCTGTGGTTTAAACCCACAGCGCCACCCGCGTCCCATGAAGAGCAAGGGTACAAATGCTCTAAATAAGCAAATAAATAATTTGCAAGACAAAGCCTGCGTCCCGTTGGAGTTTTTCTTAGAACAGGGGTGGGCAACTTCAGGCACAGATAACCTAACTGGCCCTCAGGAATCTCCCCAGGCCACATCCCATTTCATCCTCACAAACAACTCTATGAAATAGGTTAGGGCAAAATACAACGATTGGTCCAAGATCACGCCTAAGCGAGCTTCATAGCTGAGAGGGATTTGAACTCTGGTCTGCCAGGCCTGGGGGAACCTTTTGCCTTCCAGATGCTGACCAACTACAACTCCCATCAGCCGCTGCAACATCTGGAGGGCCAAAGATCCCCCACACCTGGCCCTTGTCCAACACTCTTAACCACAAAAGTGGTTTTGCATGTCTTCCTATACACATAGAAATGTAAGGTTGTCGTCATGCAGGAAGAGCTGTTCAATTATGGAATGGACTCTCTCGGAACGCGGTGAACTCTCTTATGCTGGAAGTTTTCAATCCAAAATTGGGAGGAGGGGCACCTGTCAGGAATTATTGAGCTGTGATTCCTTCATTGCAAGGGGTTAGACTAGATCAGCCCCAGGGTCCCTTACACACCTACAGCTCTGTGATTCTATTACACTGGCATGTTGCAGAGGTACCCAGAGGCTCCATGGAGCCACTTACTTTCAGCAGAGCATCCCTGTCTGGAGAGTCTCCCATCGGCTCCCGGAACCGGTCCAGCTCCTCTTGCATCTCCATCAGCTGGTCTTCCAAGTCGGCCAACTTGGCTTCTGTCTCTTCCTTGATTGTTTTCATGTCCTTCAGCCTTAAGAATCAGGAAGCAGAAAAGAGAAGGTTGGGTGGGAGTTCATCTTAACTGTGCCGGGTAGGGCTAGAGGCGTTAATAATTAATAATAAAATAATAATAATAATAATAATAATAATAATAATAATAATAATAATAATAATAATATTTTATTTATATCCCGCCCTCCCCAGCCGAAGCCAGGCTCAGAGCAGCTAACAACAATAAAAGTAACACAGCATTCTAAAATCAATTCAGAATCAAATTGATGGCAACCATTGGGCTAGAGTGCTATGAGGATTACCAAAGGAGGGGGTCAGGCTGTGCCTTGGCCAAAGGCCTGGTGGAACAGCTCTGTCTTGCAGGCCCTGCGGAAAGATGTCAAGTCCCGCAGGGCCCTAGTCTCTTGTGACAGAGCGTTCCACCAGATCGGGGCCACGGCCAAAAAAGCCCTGGCTCTGGTTGAGGCCAGCCTAACCTCCCTGTGGCCCCGGACCTCCAAGATGTTTTTGTTTGAAGACCGTAAGGTCCTCCGTGGGACATACCAGGAGAGGCAGTCCCGTAGGTACGAGGGTAACTATCAGACTTTGAAAAGCCAGCGTGACTTGATCAAGTTCAATTTTGTCGAATCAATTACGCCAAACAAGTTTCCATTGAATCACAATTCATTGCTAGTTTTGAACTTGACTGTGTTGCTGTTATCATCTTCCTTAGTGGGACGTGCAAGCCGCTAGTCTGAATAATGCTTTTTGTAGGGTTGGGGACCACTGGAGTAGAGGATTAAATCAAAGTCCTTCTGCTGTGTCCTTGCCTACAAAGTTTATTCACCCCGTGAGCTATATAGAGCCTGCAATACAAGTGTCACTGATTCCGCAAGTGACACAGGCAAGTGTGATGGCCTGGGACTCAGGCTCAGACTCGGAACCAGAGGAGTCTCAGTCTGCACCGGACCCTTTGCCCCAGGCGGCAGCTGAACCAAGTCTGGGGCCTGACCCTGAAGAGCCCCAGTCTGCACAGGTTCCCCTGCAACAAGCACCAGCTGGGCCGAGTCAGGGGCCTGATCCTGCCCTGGCTCCAGATGCGGGGGTGACCTCGTTGCCTCCAGCTGGGCCGTCACTTACAGCTGCTCCACTACCGGTTGGGTCAGGGGAGACTGAGGCGGCCTCTGGGTCTAGTCACCCACCGATGTCTCCTGAGCTGCAGAGACTGAGGTCTGAGAGAAGGAGAGACCTGAATACTCGCAGGAGGAGTGCTCGCCTTCGGGAGAGACAGGGAGGTATGTCGCCGGGGGATCAGGACCGGCCGATACCCCGACAGAGATAAAAGGCTGTCGGACCCTGCCCCAGGTTGCGGGAGCAACGTTGCTGTTTGCCAGAACCTGTCTGTGATCCTGTACCTGACCTTGCCTGGTTTCCTGCCTTGTGTCCTGTCGGACTGACTCCTTGCGGAACCCTTGGATTCGGGACCGGACCTGGACCGCGTCACTCGGGCTACCCCCGGGCCCAGCACAGTGAGGCTGCATGGCGGCGACAGTGGCAAGAGCTGCGATTCGGCCGCAGCCAACTCTGCTCCCCCTCCCCCAGCCCTCTGGATCCAGAAACGGCAGATCCGGACGCTGCGGCTGAAGGCTCAAATCCACCCCTCTTTCACCCAGGTGCTATGTGATATATTTCTACCCTTTCCTCCTGGGAGCCACCTGGTGGTGGTGGGCGGGGCCAGAGGCAAAAGTGGGAGGGGCAACACATGCAAATTTTTACCTCTGTGCAGCAGCCCCGCCTCCCTCTTTTCCCCAAGAGTATTATGTACAGTACAGTATATCCTTTTTTACTGTAAGTCGATTGGAGACGTTCAGGTGACAAGACCCCCACCTGAAGGAGGGCAGGATTCAGGTGCGACCTGGGGGTCTTGAGATCTGGAGGGAAGGGTGGGCTTGCAGTTAACTCGGGGGGAGGGTTCCCCCCCAAACCCCCCCCCCCACAGATTTGCACTTACTCTTGGACGCTGCCCTGAAGTTCCTGGCTTTTCTTCTCAAAGGCCACCCGCAGTCGGTGGCACTCCTCTTCGGATTCCTCCAGCTGGACCTCCAGGTCATGGGGGGCGCCGTTCCTGTGGCCGTTTTGCAACAGCTCCAACCTCTGACGAAGCTGCGTTTGGGGGGGGGCGGTGAAAGAAAGAAAGAAAATAAATAGGCCCAGAATGCAACCATCTACAGGTTTTTTCCAGATGTTCCGGCATTACCCAGAAGCCTCTGCTTCCACAGCTTGGATGGGAAGGCGTGACAAAGATGGCGGCCGCAGACCCACTGACTGGGGAGCAGTGGGGAGGGGAAGAAGGAGCTGAGACCCCAGGCACCTAACCCCAGTATTGTCTACACTGACTGGCAGCAGCTCTCCGGGGTTTCAGGCAGGGGGCGCTCCCAGGCCTACCTGGGGATGTTGAGGATTGAACTTGGGACCTTCTGCACGCCAAGCATTTGCTCTACCGACCTACATGCCGCATTTTAGATATACCATATTTTTCGCTCCATAAGACGCACTTTTTCCCTCCTAAGAAGTAAGGGGAAATGTGTGTGCGTCTTATGGAGCGAATGCAGGAGGGAGGCAGGCAGGAAAAGCCCCCAAGAGCCGCACACAAGCTCCGTGCGGCCGGTCAGTCCCTTCTTCCTCCTCGTAGAAAAGCCCGCAGGAGCCGCGCGCTCCTTAAAGGATGCACGGCTCCTGTGGGCTTTTGTGGGTGGTGGGGGTATTGCCATAGCCGCGTGCAGCCCCTCTGGCCGGGAGAGGCTATGCACGGCTATGGCTTCTTTAGCCGCACGCAGCCTCTCCCGGCCGGAGAGGTTGCGCGCGGCTAAAGAGGAAGCCAAAACAGAGAGTGGGATCCATTCCACTCGCTGTCTTGGCTTCTTTAGCTACACGCAGCACCTACGGCCAGGAGAGGCTGTGTGCGGCTATGGCAGAAGCCAAGACAGCGAGCAGGATGGATCCCGCTCGCTGTCTTGGCTTCTTTGCTCTTTAGAGCTGGGGGGTGGGGTGGGACCCGGGCTTCCCCCGGCAGCCCCAGAAGCTCTGGGAGGCGGGGGGGGGGAGGATTTTTTTTCTTGATTTCCCCCTCTAAAAACTAGGTGCACCTTATGGTCCGGTGCGCCTTATGGAGCGAAAAATACGGTATATGTGTTAAGTTTCTAGTCCTTGTGGTTTTAAGGAGATGGCTGTACTAAATGGGAACAGAGGAAGCTGCCTTGTACTGGGCCAGCCCCTTGGCCCATGCAGCTCAGGGCTGCCCGACACTGGCTGGCAGAAGCAGGGGACATTCCTAGGGATACCCGACGACACCTGGGACCTTCTACATGCAAAGCAGATGTTCTGCCCCTGGAGACACAGCACCTCTCTCCCTAAAGATAAGGGCAAGACTCTGGTCCTCATGGTTCCGAATCGAGGGCTGATTTTAAACAGGGAACAGGGGACACTCCTTTTTTCCGGGAGACTGAATCTGGGACCTCCTGCCTGCAAGTGAGGAAGGAGAACAATGGCCCCATGTGTTCTGTTTCTTGTTTGTTTTGAGTAGGACCGTGTCCTCAGGGAAAAGACAATACAGGTGAGACTCTTGTTCCAACAAAAGGGGAAGAGGTGCTGTTGCAGGAATTTATGTATAGGTGGGGGGGGTTGCCCCTCCAGCAGATATCAGGCACACGCAGCCCACTACCAAAACCAGCACAATCACTTTTGTGACATTTGTGATTTGTCCCCACAAAACACCTCATCGCAGTTTCTTCCTATCTATTCAAAGGGCCTCTGCTGCACGATACCAAACGTAAGAATTCACTGATAAATGTATCTATGTACTGGCTCACTGGGAAAACTTCAGAAATCCATATAGACACGTGAGCTCAGCTACTCAGCAGCCCCTCTGCCTGAGGGATAATCCGTGGCATCCTGATACCTGAGTGCCAGACATGTAGCCATTCCAGAAACAACAAACCCAGATGAAGACAAAAGGGTGTGATTAACTTGGCTGGAAACAGGGAAATGTAAAGATCTTTTTTGTTCCACTTGATGGGTGTTTGGTGGAGGGCAAGGGGAACCATGGGGCAGGGTCCAGGATGCTCAGATTCCTGCCACCAGACCTCCCCTTTCATGATGTAACTGTGATGTATTAGTGATGTAGTTTGGGGGGATGTAACATGGGGATTAAAAAGGTAAAGGGACCCCTGCCCATACGGGCCAGTCTTGCCAGACTCTATTTTTTTTAAAAAAGACATTTATTAAAGTTTCAAACAGTCTTGCCAGACTCTAGGGTTGTGTGCCCATCTCACTCCAGAGGCCGGGGGCCAGCGCTGTCCGGAGACACTTCCGGGTCACGTGGCCAGCGTGACATCACTGCTCTGGCGAGCCAGAGCCGCACACGAAAACGCCGTTTACCTTCCCGCTTGTAAGCGGTCCCTATTTATCTACTTGCACCCGGGGGTGCTTTCGAACTGCTAGGTTGGCAGGCGCTGGGACCGAACAACGGGAGCGCACCCCGCAGCGGGGATTCGAACCGCCGACCTTTTGATCAGCAAGCCCTAGGCGCTGAGGCTTTTACCCACAGCGCCACCTGCGTCCCATAAACATGGGGATTAGCAGCTAATAAAAGTTTGGGGGCTCTTTTGTTTGGGGCTTCCATCCTGTTCCACCTGGTGGCAGGTGGGAGTCCTGTCTCGAGGGTCTTCAATAAAGACCAAGCCGACTGGCTGCTGTTTTGCTCTGGTATTCCTGGCTGGTGTCCTTGTTTTTTGTCCAAGGGAGCCCTCGGGTTTCTCCGTTAACAGTGCCAACACACCTTGGTTTCCTGGTCCAACTTCCGCTGCAGCTCCTCTACCTTCCGTGTCAGTTCGCCCGCTGGGGGGAGAGAGGCTGTCGACTGCGCCGTTGGGGCAGCCTTCCCAGAAAAGAAAGGGGGGGGGAGAGAAGCAAAGGGAATCAGATGGGGAGATGCTGGAGAAATGGAATACGGTCGGCACCTTGGAATTCTGGTGGGAAAACACCACCATCGCAAAAAATCCATTACCTGGACGTGCGTGTTCAGCCCGCTTTTATCTACGCTCTATACAGCTGACTGTGCCCCCAAATACCCCAGTAATAAGATCATTAAGTTTGCAGATGATACAACGGTGGTTGGTTTAATCACGGCTGGAGAGGGAGAGGCGGCCTATAGGAAGGAAGTTGACCAGTTGGGGGAGTGGTGCAGGAAAAACAACTTACTCCTTAACTTAAAGAAAACAAAAAAGATTATTGTGGACTTTAGGAAATGTAAATTGAACATTCAGCCACTTATTATTGAGGAAAGTGCGTAGAACAGGTCCCGGTGTTTCGATTTCTGGGAATGGAGTTGAGAGATGACCTAACCTGGGGAGAAAACAGCCAAGACCTGATGAAGAGAGAACAGCAGAGGCTATATTTTCTGAGAATCCTCCGGAAAAACAATCTCTCAAAGGACCTGTTGATGGCATTTTACCATTGTACTGTGGAGAGTGTATTAACTTATGGTCTCTGTGTGTGTGGTTTGGGAGCTGCACGGTCAGGGGGAAAACAGTGCTGTCCAGGGTTGTGAAGACTGCAGAGAGAATAATTGGGTGCACTCTTCGCACCTTGGATCAAATCTATGCTACCAGGTGTCATAAGAAAGCGGCAGAGATAGCGCAGGATAGTGCACACCCCGGAAATGATCTCTTTCAGCTTCTGCCTTCTGGAAGAAGGTCCAGGGTTATAAAGGCCAGGACTAGCCGCCTGAGAACAGTTTCTACCCAAATGCAATTCTGGTTTTTAACACAGCACAGTGGTACCTCAGGTTAAGTACTTAATTCGTTCCGGGGGTCTGTTCTTAACCTGAAACTGTTCTTAACCTGAAGCACCACTTTAGCTAATGGGGCCTCCTGCTGCCGCCGGAGCACAATTTCTGTTCTCATCCTGAAGCAAAGTTCTTAACCCAAGGTACTATTTCTGGGTTAGCAGAGTCTGTAACCTGAACCGTATGTAACCTGAACCATATGTAACCCGAGGTACCACTGTATAATTAGTCTCTATAGTATATTGCATTATAAGATGGGGTTCCAGAGTTTTTAGGGGTTTTTGAATGTCTTATGTAGATTTTTCAATTTCATTGTTCTGTATGGGACAATGACAATAAAGATATCGTATCATATCGTCTGCCCCAGCCCCCCTGGGACCGAAAACGAGGCAGCAGCATGACCCCCCCACCCCACTTTGAAATGTAAAGCTTGGGCAAGAGTCGTCTGTTTGTGGCCTCCCTCCGCCCTCAAGGAGCCGGTCCTCATGAGGTGTCAGTTTCAATCGAGAGAGAAGGAGATCCCTGTCAAGAAATGAGGGCTGGAGGGAGGGCAGGAGAGAGAGCAAGATTTGCCGGGAGAGCTCTTTAAAAAAAGAACTGAAGTTTGCAGAAAGAAAGATGTTTGGGTTCATGTTTGAAAAAGTGCTAACAGGCCACCCCCCCTGGAAGATGCACAGCAGGAATTCATCACTATCTGAAGCTGAGCAGAGATCAAAGCTTCTGGGCTTTGAAATGGTTTCATCCAAACTCCTGCTGACACAGGGATTGTTTTTCCTCTGCAAGATATTTGCTGTAAAAAGAAAATCTATTTTGCCCCACAGAGGACAGGCAGGCGGGAGTTAATCTGTCTCATGGGGAAAGTGGGGAGAAGGGAGACTAGTTTTGGTTGGATAGGGCAATGGTAAAGCTCTGCCCCCCATATCAAAAGGAAAATCCTCTTTCTTTCTGGAGAAAATACATTAATAATAATAATAATCACTTTCCCAGCAAAGAGAGCAATTGTCGTTCCAGGGCTGGTACAACCAGTGCTTTTTTTTTCTAAAAGAAATGTTTAGGGGTACTCTCATTTTCCTACTCATATTAAAATACTGCCCCTCAATGAGGCCAAACTTAGATTTGTTTAGGGGTATGTGTAACCCTGTGTCCCCACAGAAAAAAAGCACTGTGTACAACTCTAGACAACCACAAGATGAAGTCTTATTAAGGCTGGGGGGACTGGGGTCCTGAGTTCGGGTCCTGCCTCTCAAAAGAAATTAGGGCTCCAGCCTTCGTAATTCCAAATAAAAGGCTGGTTTAAAAAGGTGAGGAAGCTAACTTAATACAAGCCACTGGGCCTATCTAGCTCAGCATTGCCAACACTGGCTGGCAGAAGGGTTTCAGGCAGCGGGGAGATTCCCAGTCTAGCTGGGGATACCAGGGATCGGGTCGGAGAGGTTTGGTATAACAGAGTGGGGACTCTAGCACTTAGCTCATGCTTTGCACCATGAGACCCTCCCTGCCCGCGGATGGTCTTGCCAGAGTGGTGCATGCTCTGGTTATCTCCCGCTTGGACTACTTCAATGTGCTCTACGTGGGGCTACCTTTGAAGGTGACCTGGAAACCACAACTAATCCAGAATGCGGCAGCTAGACTAGTGACTGGGAGCGGCCACCGAGACCACATAACACCAGTCCTGAAAGACCTACACTGGCTCCCAGCACGTTTCCGAGCACAATTGAAAGTGTTGGTGCTGACCTTTAAAGCCCTAAACGGCCTCGGTCCAGTATACCTGAAGGAGCGTCTCCACCTCCATTGTTCTCCCCGGACACTGAGGTCCAGCGGCGAGGGCCTTCTGGCGGTTCCCTCCCTGAAAGAAGTGAGGCTACAGGGAACCAGACAGAGGGACTTCTTGGTGGTGGTGCCTGCCCTATGGAACTGCCTCCCATCAGATGTCAAAGAAAAAAATAACTACCAGACTTTTAGAAGACATCTGAAGGCAGCCCTGTTTAGGGAAGCTTTTAATGTTTAATAGGTTATTGTCTTTTAGTGTTTTGTTGGAAGCTGCCCAGAGTGGCTGGGGAAACCCAGCCAGGTGGGCGGGGTATAAATAATAAATTAATATTATATTATTATTATTGCACACAGGCTCCAGGTTAGATTCCTGGCGTCTCCAGTTAGCAGCCAATAGCAGAGAAAGCCTTTCTCAGCCAGAGACCCTGCCCATCAGAGGTTAGCAGACAATATTAGTCTCAAGGGACGATGTTTCTCGCTTGGTGCAAGGCAGTTACAAATGGAAACTCTGGGAAAATCCGGTTTTCGGGTTTCCCACAGTGGCTGGCCACTGTGAGAACAGGATGCTAGCTAGATGGGCCATTGGTCTGATCTAGAAAGCTGGGCTCTGCTTATGTTCTTTGTATAGTGTGCATTGAGATTAATGCAGAGCTTAGCTATTCCTTTCTTAAAAGGCAGGCTTTTAAGGCCTATCCTTTCCCTTAATCCCCTCGTGACCGCCTTGGCATGGTCTCCCAAGAACACAGTAAATAAATCTCCACAGTCAAACAAACCGTAGCCTTCTCGGGCTCTGGAGAATCCAAGGGTAAGTTCCTAGTCCTCATTGTTCTGGGGAGAAGCCCGGGAATATTGGCATCCAGGAGGAACGGATGTGGGTTCAGTAGTCTGTCCTTGTGTCCACCTCGCCCCCAACCCAAGAACTGGGACGCATCGACCAGAGAGAGGTCAGGAATCACGCCAAGGAGGAAATGATTTTGTCTCACAGCTGTGACATTTTTGTTTTTCGCCAGGTACTTACGGATAGCGCTTGGACCTTCTCGAAGACAAGGTTGGTCTTTCTTTTCACCGTGGCGTCGCTTTCCGTGTTTCTGAAAGTGACAAAAACGTTAAAAAAACAAATCAAACCCACCAGCTCAGCTGAGAATGAAAACCGCCAGCATGTCAGATCCTGTTACTCTAAATAGGATCCAGCAGAGCACCGTGTGTGTTTGTGTCCTCCTAAAATGTAATCCAAACATTTACAAAAAAAATTACAGAAGACCCAGATAGGGTTAGGGACGCGGGTGGCGCTGTGGTCTAAACCACTGAGCCTCTTGGGCTTGCCGATCAGAAGGTTGGCGGTTTGAATCCCCGCGACGGGGTGAGCTCCTGTTGCTCGGTCCCAGCTCCTGCCAACCTAGCAGTTCGAAAGCAAGTCAAAGTGCAAGTAGATAAATAGGTACCGCTCCGGCAGGAAGGTAAACGGCGTTTCCGTGCGCTGCTCTGCTTGGCCAGAAGCGGCTTAGTCCTGCTGGCCACATGACCCGGAAGCTGTACGCCGGCTCCCTCGGCCAGTAAAATGAGATGAGCGCCACAACCCCAGAGTCGGCCACAACTGGACCTAATGGTCAGGGGTCCCTTTACCCTTTACCTTTTACCAGATAGGGTTAAAATATGGCACACACTGGCAAGACACAAATAAATAAGTCATCTGTGCATCGTATTATATTTTAATTTGCTCCTGTGAAATTTCTTTTCAAATAAAATAGCAAATATTTTTTAATTTATTTTTTTAAGGGATTAAACCCCCATTTGTGAAGAACAGGCCAATTAATGGGTATGATGACTAAATGGAGCTTCCAGGTTCAGGAGCAATCTACCAGGCGCAGTTGCCTCCATGCCCCTCCCCATACATCCGATTGGTCACAGCCCCTCCTCTGCTCCCGCCCCAACGCTTACCCATCCTTCAGAATACTGTAGATGAGCTCCTTGGTGTGGTCGCTGCTTCCGGGCTGAGACACCTCTTGCTGGTCCTTCAGGAGGTCTGGGGTGGACTTCAGCTGGAAGGAAAACCCCAAAGATTAAACCCCAGCGTTTTTGAGAGGGAGGGAAGCCATGTTTTCAAAAGGCTGCTGCCAGTCATACGACACAGGGCTAGACTAGGGCATAGGAAACAGCCTTGGTCCATCTGGATCAGCGCTGACCACTCTGATGGGCAGAGGCTCCCAAGGGGACAGTGGACATGTTCATGCTGCCAGGAGATGCCAAAGATTGAACCCAGGACCTTATAAACGGGTGTTCACCAATATGCAGGTGATACCTCCCGTTTAAATTGGAAGCAGGGAAGGCGATGAATGTCCTGTGTGAGTGTCTGGAGGTGACTGGGGGGGTGGACGGCGATTAACGGATTGAGGTTGACTCTCGACAAGACAGAAGTACTGTTCTTGGGGGGACAGGAGGCAGGTGGGTGTGGAGGACTCCCTGGTCCTGAATGGGGTAACTGTGCCCCTGAAGGACCAGGTGCGCAGCCTGGGAGTCATTTTGGACTCACAGCTGTCCATGGAGGCGCAGGTCAAATCTGTATCCAGGGCAGCTGTTTACCAGCTCCATCTGGTGCGCAAGCTAAGACCCTATCTGCCTGCAGACTGTCTCGCCAGAGTGGTGCATGCTCTGGTTATCTCTTGCTTGGACTACTCCAATGCGCTCTACGTGGGGCTGCCTTTGAAGGTGACACGGAAACTACAACTAATCCAGAATGCGGCTGTCAGACTTGGTGACTGGGGGTGCCCACTGAAACCATATAACACCGGTCTTGAAAGACCTACATTGGCTCCCAGTACGTTTCCGAGCACAATTCAAAGTGTTGGTGATGACCTTTGAAGCCCTAAACGGCCTCAGCCCAGTAGACCTGAAGGAGCATCTCCACCCTCATCGTTCTGCCCTGAGGCACTGAGGTCCAGCTCCGAGGGCCTTCTGGGGGTTCCCTCATTGCGAGAAGTGAGGTTACAGAGAACCAGGCAGAGGGCCTTCTCGGTGGTGGCACCCGCCCTGTGGAACGCCCTCCCAGCAGATGTCAAGGCAATAAACAACTATTTTACTTTTAAAAGACAACTGATGGCCGCCCTATTTAGGGAAGTTTTTAATGTCTGATGCTGTGTTGTTTTGAATATTCAATTGGAAGCCGCCCAGGGTAATAAATAATTATATTATATATATTTTGTTACAACATTTTAGCCACGTGTTGCCTGCTATTGCTTAAAGTTTTTGCAACAAAGGGGATTTCCTTTGTTACAGGTCTATGCTGGTGCGCAGGTGCTTTTCAAGGTCTCTGGCACGAGCCCCTCGCAGCGCTACCCAGAGATGCCACTAGGAACTAAACTTTCTGCATGCACGGCAGCTGTTCTGCCACGAGGTGCATCAAACTGATGACAATAACGGCAACCTTCTCAAGACAAGCGTGCTGATCTGACTACCTTCCAGGCGGGCCCCCCGGTCTCTGTTTCTAAAGACGCTGGGCCCCGCAGGCTGCCATCAGGAGAAATTGGCACAGACAGCCCCGCAAAAACACAAGGAAAGAGAATCACCTGCAGGTCTGGCTGTGATTTCCTCGCCTGCTTCTCCAAGGCTGGCACCTCCAGGCTCTTATTGACCCATTCCCGGGTCAGTGTCGATTTGTCCAGCCCGTTCACCGGCCGCCCAGAGGCCCGGCCGAGGCTCCTGCTTCCCGGGGGGCCGGGGTCGGCCGCCGAGCCCCCTGCCCCTCCTCCGGAGCCCGCCTGGGGCTCCCCGGGACCCAGCTCCCGGCCGTCGGCCGTGTCATGGTAAGGCAGCCTTCCATCGAGGCTCTTGGACCGCTTCCGCTCGTCCAGAGAGAGCCGGTTCCTCCGGGACGGCCGCCCCCGCTGCTGCGCCTTCGCGTCGAACTTGTGGATCAGAGAGTCCACCGAGGACAGGGGCTTGGTGTCGATGTCGCCGGCCGGAGCGGCGGGCTCAGGGGAGCTCGCCACCGCTGGCCTGCGGACGGGTCTCAGGCCAGACAGGCTGCCTGCAGATTCCTCACTGGGGCTGGGCTGCCGGCGACCGGGCAGGTTCATCATGCTTGCGCTCCTCACAGCGCCCCCCGGAGGCAGGGGCTGGGGGTGTCCGGGGAACCGGCCCCCGGGGCGCTGGGCGCGGGAGGCTCGTCCAGCTCGGGGTCGAGCAAGGAGCCGTGCGACTGAGTCCGCCGCAGCTGCTCCCCGAAGGATTTTTTGTGCGGCAGTGTCCGGTAGCCGCCGGCGCGGTGCTGCGGCACGGGCCGCCCCTCCTTGCTGCCGGCTTTCGGGGTCCGCCGCGGGCCGGGCTCCTCGTCCGAGGTGCTGTAGCGGGAGCCGTGCCGGGACTGCCTGACCCCGTACGGGTTCTCCGGCAGGTCTGAATCGGAGCTGAAGGAGCCCGAGGCATCTTTGGAGGAAGATGCAGCCCCGGGGGAAGCGGGGAAGGAGTCCTCCCGCTGGGGGCCGCGGGCGGGGGGCCCGTACTTGCTCTCGCCTTTGATCTGCACCCCGAAGGAGTCTCCCCCTTTCTCGCCGCTGTTGAGGACCACAAAGGGCTGCCCGTCGATGCCCTGCACCCGCACCGCCACCCCGTAGGAGCCCGGCTTGGAAGGCTTGGGGCGGATCTTCTGAGACTTGCTGGGCTCCTTCAAGTCGTTGATGAAGCGGATCTGGACCCCGTAGTCCATGGGGCCCGGCTTCTCGGCTAGGGTGCCGTTCACGTGGTGGTCCATCTTCTGCGGGTCTGGGGCCTTGAAAGGATCCTGCCAAAGGGGGGAGAGAACACAGGCTCAGAATCGTAGATTATAGAGCTGGATGGGACTCTGCGAGTCATGTAGCCCAACGCCTCTGCAATGCTGGAATAATGCAGGACTTGTTTTTACCTATCGCAATGGCCTGATCCTGCAGGCTTCTGATGTTCTTGTGCTAGCTAACACCTGTGAGCCCCTACATCTTAGGCTCAGGTTGTGTGTGTGTGTGTGTGTGTGTGTGTGTATATAAAGGGGCCCCTGACCATTAGGTCAAGTCGTGACCGACTCTGGGGTTGTGGCGCTCATCTCGCTTTATTGGCCAAGGGAGCCGGCGTCCAGCCAGGACTAAGCCGCTTCTGGCAAACCAGAGCAGCGCACAGAAACGCCATTTACCTTCCCGCCGGAGCAGTACCTATTTATCTACTTGCACTTTGATGTGCTTTCGAACTGCTAGGTTGGCAGGAGCAGGGACCGAGCAACGGGAGCTCACCCTATGGCGGGGATTTGAACCACCGACCTTCTGATCGGCAAGTCCTAGGCTCTGTGGCTTAACCCACAGCGCCACCCGCATCCCATATATATATATATATATATGCAAAATATGAGTATCTACATCCTAAAGGCACTGCTGCCCTTCCTGTGGGCCCCCAGATGTTGTTGGACTACAACTCCCATCATCCCTGAGCTCTGGCCTTGCTAGCTAGGGGTGATGGGAGTTGTAGTTCAACAACACCTGGGGACCTGCAGGTTGAGAAAGGCTGTCTTAGCCTAACCTTCCTCACAGGGTTGTCGTGAGGGTGAAACGGGGTTTGGACGAGAACCACGCGCAGCACCTTGAGATCACTGGAGTGGCGGTATGCAAATGTAACAGATAAATAAATGAATGAATAGCAAACAATATAAAATAATCAAACATTTTAATGAGGCGGTTGAGGAGGAGATGTCTCAGGAGGTTGAGCAGTGGGGCCAATCCTGCAAAATCCTAGCTCTGTACATAACCACAACTTCAACTCAACAGGATTTTTAAAATAATATTGCATTACTAATTTCTGTAACCTGCCCTGAGATCGTTTATGGCGAACAGCAGGAAATAAATTGAAAAGCTGAAAAACATCTTCATGTATGCGACAACGGCCGCGAGAGTTCTGGTAGCACAAGGATGGAAGACTGAAGAAACCCCAACTAAAGAATCATGGCAAGAAAAATTGATGGACTATGCAGAACTGGCAAAACTGACATACAAGCTACGGGACAAGGATAACTGTGACTTTAAAGAAAAATGGGAACCCTTGACAAAGTATTTGAAGACGCAACAAAGCGAACTGGACTCCTTGGCAGGTTTTGAATAAACATTCACAAACTTTTTATTGACAATAATCAGCTAAATAGTTTGAGGATCTATACAACTGTGTAACATGCAGAAAACAGCATTTTTAGAGAAATCAAAGACTGGAACTGAGGGAAGTTGGGGGTGGGGGTGGGTGGGTTCTGTGGGGGGAGGGAGGGAGGGAGGAAAAATGGGGGGGGATAAGGATGATAGGTTTCTGGATAATGTGTTTTGTTTTAATTTTGAATAAAAGTTATTTTTAAAAAAATCAAAAATAATGTAAATTCTTACAACAACCTTGCAAGGTAGGACAGTATTGTCCTCTTATTGTGGATTAGAGGGTGGGTGGGGAGGGAGAGTTCACGGTGGAGGTGAAATTTGAACCCCGGGGGGGGGGGTGTGAGAGAGAGAAACGACTTCCTGGGTTTTGAGATTATTTCCTCAGCCGCCATCCTCCTCCGCTTATCTCCTGCTCTCAAGATTTTTATGAACCTGCCTTCCTTGCGCTAAGTCTGAACACAACTCCACCGAGCTCAGTACTGCCCACACTGGCTGGCAGCTTCAGGCTGGCAGGCAGCCTCTCCCAACACTACCTGGAAAAGCCACCGGGGACTGAACCTGGAGCCTCGTGCGCAGGGCAGACGCTCTACCCTTGAGTCTCAAAATAAAATATCCGCGTCCCCTTTGGTTCTGAGCCAAAGGCTGGATTTAAACAGGAGCAGAGGCAGACAGGGTCCTCCTGGACCAGTACTGCCTGCTCAGACTGGCAGCAGCTCGCCAGGGTTTCAGGTAGGGGACAGTCTCAGCTCTACCGGGAAATGTCAGAGATTTTACCTGGGACCTTCTTGCTACTGAGCTACAGCCCTGGCCAGAGATTTAAAACCCTGCATTAATTCAGGGATTAGTTCCAATCTCAGAGACCAGCAGCAAAGCTGCACTTTCACCTCTACACAACATGCCCCGGCCGGCAACTCCCTTTTACGATGGTGGAGTGAGCAGGGAAAAACAAATAAATATGCAAAGCGCTCTTATCGGGTCAAGGCAGAGTGCAGGTTGCAAGCGTTTCAGGTGGAAAAACACACCCGGCTGCCGTCAGAAATCTGCCGCCATGCAGGAATGCAAGGAGACCGAGAGCATGGGTGAATAACGCCAGCAGAACGTGGGGAGCAGGGTGCGAATCCCAGTAGAGAGACTACCTGCAAGGACTCAGTCGTCCATGTCTGTAAAATGGGTGGAAAGTGTGGTGGAGGCCAGACCACACACATACACACACCCTGTGAGATTCTAAAATAAAAATGTAAGATCCATATAGGATCAGGCCAAATGCCCTGAAGAACCTAGAAATCTGGATAGACTGCTGCTGGACTTGGAGGCTCCATAAGAATGTCAGAAGAGCCTGGTTGCTGGATCAGGCCAAAGGGGTTCAGGATAGCATCCTGTTCTTGCAGCGGCCAACCAGATGTTCCAATGAGAGCCCTGCCAGAATGACCTCACCGTCAGGAATGCATAAACAACCCAGGATTTTTATTTACACAGCAGGACCATTCAGAGGGTGTCATCCCAGAGTACATTTTCGCAAAGACAGCATTGCTCCACCTATCCGGCCAAATAATTGCAGGTTGTTGTCCGATTCACACTTGGCAGACCTGCCTGTCATGGGTACACCCTTGGTGAGCAGCGGGCGTCTCAAGGGGGCGGGGAGCATCCATGCCTCTAAATCAACCTAAGTTTCTAGTCCTCAGGAGCGTTTGAGCAGCTTGCCTCACACCCAGGAATGGCTCAAGCCCTTTGGGGGCAAGCCAGGTGTGCCCTGGGAGCGCATGCACATGAGGAAGTCGCTCAGGAGCAGAACACATGCTCTGAAGTAAGGAGGTCCGTTGTTCAACCTCTGCCATGTCCAGCAGCGTTCGAAATTAGCCAGGCAACAGGGGCATTTCGTACCTCGCCATTGGCCCCTTGCAACCAAGTGGAGGTGCCAGGATGCCACCTGATGTCTCCACCAACTTGGATGCCTTTAAAAGAGGATTAGACAAATTCGCGGACGGTAACCTAGACAGCATCTTAAAAAGCAGAGACATCACCTTGCGGACAAAGGTCCTTATTGTTAAAGCTATGGTTTTCCCAGGAGTTATGTATGGAAGCGAGAGCTGGACCATAAAGAAGGCTGATCGCCGAAGAATGGATGCTTTTGACTTCTGGTGCTGGAGGAGACTCTTGAGAGTCCCATGGACTGCAAGAAGATCCAACCTCTCCATTCTGAAGGAAATCAGCCCTGAGTGCTCACTTGAAGGACAGATCCTGAAGCTGAGGCTCCAAGACTTTGGCCACCGCATGAGAAGAGGAAGACTCCCTGGAAAAGACCCTGATGTTGGGAAAGATGGAGGGCACAAGGAGAAGGGGACGACAGAGGACGAGATGGTGGGACAGTGTTCTCGAAGCGACCAGCATGAGTTTGACCAAACTGCGGGAGGCAGTGGAAGACAGGAGGGCCTGGCGTGCTCTGGTCCAGGGGTCACGAAGAGGCGGACACAACTAAACGACTAAACAACAACAACAAAACAAGGCTACTGATGGCTTCTCCCCATGATAGCTATGCTTTGCCTCCAGCAATGCCTCTGAAACCATAGGAGGGGAGAGGGCGTTCTTATGCTAAGTTGTTGTGGCCTCCCTACAGGGCATCTGGTTGGCCCTGTGAAAGCAGGATGCTGGGAGAGATTGGGCCTCCTTTGGCCTGATCCAGCATCGTTTCCCCACGTTCTAAGCATTCCGAGAGATGGAGAAACTGGCCAACACAGCTCACAGCTTCAGGAAATCTCTCGCTCGCCGTTTCCCGGAGGAAACTTCCTGCCTCGCACTCTTAGCTCCCCGACCAGCCGGCATGCTCCCTTTTTGCTCAGCCGAACGAAGCCGCTACCTTTAAACCAGAAATGAATTTCAAACAGCGCTGTAGCCTGCAAGGGAGTGGGGGCTTGCGAGGTTTATCAGGGAAGCCGGGAACAATACAGGCGATTGTTTTCGCGAGAGTCTCACTCAGAAACTGGCTCCTTTCAACTCCAGCAGAGCATCGCCCGATCGGGGACCGTCAAGAGCATCAATTAAAAAAAACCAAAACGACAATAACGCAGTGTCAGCAGGAAATGGACCGGCAGAACCTCGCGAGCAGAGAAGCTGGGGGAGCAGTGGGAAGGGGTACCATTGTGTCCATCGGCCGCTGCAGGGCTGCCAACATTGTGTCCATCACCCGCTGCCAGGCTGCCGAGCCGAATGGGAAGGTGGAAAAACAAAAGGGTACTTGCTCTGCAATCCAACCCACCTTGCTTTCTGCAGCCCGCCAGATTACTGCTGCATACTCACTGCGACTGGAGAGGAGGGGGTTAGAAGTGCATCCAGAAAGGGACAGGGGTGTGCGCGGAAGAGAAGAGAAATAAACAAATAAAAAAAAGTTTGACGCAGCTAAAGAGGCAGCCAGCGTCCTCCGTGGCCGAACGCCGTGGGAACCTGGCCGCCCCGCAGACCCGCTCGCGTCCGGGTGGCGGCGAGACCTGACATTTTGAGCGCAGTGCAATGCGGTGGCAGTTTAGCGGCGCCGGCGGCACGTGGCGGAGTGGCTGGGCTGCATCGTGGCATCGGTTCCACGGCAGGCGGGGAGCAGGGAAAGGGAGAGCCAAACGGCCCCGCTTCCCCCCCGCCGGCCAGTTCCTTCCTTGCCGCAGGCTCCGCAGATCAGGCACGCTTCCCGGCCAGCCGTGGGGAGGAGAGCGGCTGGCTGGCTGGGGGAGAGCGATGTCCTTGAGCCAACGGTCAGCCGGAACACTTATCTCGCCTGCTTTCTCCCCTCCGCTGTCCTGCCTGCTCCCGGACGCAGGTTTCCAAAGAGAGCCAGGAAAACAAGCAAAAAGGGGTCTTCTTCCTTCTCCAGACAGGGGCGAAGTGAATTAGAAACAGCCGGGGCAAGAAGGGGGTGTTCTGGGTAGTGGAAGGCAGGCGAGCATGCGGAATTTGCAACATCAGCTGGAAGGTGTGTGTTACAGATCGGGAAAGGAGGAGGAGGAGGAGCAGGAGGGGTTTGAGGGTGGGGGGAGGAAGGAGGAGGCGGTGTGGAAAATGAGATTTGGGGATTCAGGTCTTTGAGAGACAAGATTTGCTGTCCCATGCGGAACAGCTTCTGCTGCAGAAGAGAGGTGACGGTTTTCAGACATGATAAGGATGCTGTTTGCGCGCTAAGAGGAGGCATAGTGGTTAAGAGTGTCAGGCTGGGACAGACCAGGGTTCAAATCCTCACTCTGGCATGAAGATCACTGGCAGGGGTGACCTTGGAGGCCAGTCGCTGCCTCGGCCAGCCTGGTCTACCTCACAGGATTGTTGAGGGGATCAATTGAGGAGGGACAGGACAGGACTGTGCGTTCCACCTTCAGCTCATTGGAGAAAAAGGCGGGCTAAAAATGAAATAAATTAAACTGAATGCAGCGGAATGAGCTAGCTACCTTATTTATTAAGTACAGTATTCACTGCCTTTCGGCCAAAGCGGTTTATACACTTTTAAAGGATTGAAACAGATTATATAACATGTCTCTCAAAATGGGATGTGGGAGGCATTTCAGTTTAGGGGATAGGGATAGAAAGAAAATTAAGGGGTGGGGGAATGTAGGTCTATAAAAATCACACAGGCTGAGGAGAAGAAAAACAGGAGAGGGTGAATAAAGTTTTTGTCTCTTCGACTAGAATTACAGGTCGCCTGACGCACACAAATAACCCACAAAGAAGAATCCTATCTGTGGAACTCCCTGCGGCAAGGTCCACTGGTTTACATTTGAAAAAACAGAAGGGAAAGAGGGATTAATCAAGACCCCAAAAATCTGTCACTGCCTATTAATTTGGGGGTGAAGTGGAACTTCCAGGTCCTGACGCAGTCTACCCCCAAATATTGGGAGGAAAGAGCAGCGGCGGGATATTCCCATCATGCTCTGCTTACAGGTTGTGTGGGAGGCATCTGACTGGCTACTGCAAGAAGCACGGTGGGCTGGAATAGCTTAAATTCTTATTTTAGACTTGGGGTGGGAAGTCTGTGGACATCTGGACTCCACATCAGCTGGGATGGCAAGAACACAAGAAGAGGTTGCTGGATCAGGCGAAAGGCCCATCTAGTCCCGTATCCTCCTCTCACAGCGGCCAACCAACCAGGGGGAAACCAGTGAGCAGGATTTACGGAGGCAGGGCAGGGGAGCAAACTTCCCAAGCAGCTCTCAGGATCTGAGCCAAAATAATAAGAATAAACCCCGCATTTCTTTGGCTCAAGCACACACCTTTCCGATCAGAAGGATCAGCAGCGGCGGGAGATCTGACACGGAGGAGGCCGTTGCTTTTCTGCAAACGCAGCCGACGTGGCCACGGACAGGGCTTGGAACATGGCAAGCAACCCAGGCAGAACGCGGCTGCCAGTTTCCGTCCAACAATCGCTGGGCAGGCGCCAGCTCTGTATCAGCGGAGGGGGAGGAGGAGGAGGTGGTGAGTCAGGTGCCCATCCGAGGCTGGCATTCACTCCCTGGGCCCAGCAAACGGAGAGGGGAAGGGGGGCTGCCAGGAACCTCTACCCTCCCACCCGCCGATGTACCTGGTCAAGTGACCACCGTGGTTTTGGAATCGCTGGGAAAGCGAGAGCCGCAGGAATGCGAAGCCTCTCTGACCCTCCCCAGCTACAGACTCATGACTTCAGCTCCGCATGATTTACTTGTTTTTAATGAGAGTCCACTGGCTTTTTAGGAAACTAGCGATCTGTTTATGCCCAGGCAGGAGCATTTCCCAGGCTTAACGGCTAACAGATTGAGGTTGAATCCTGACAAGACAGAAGTAGTGTTTTGGGGGACAGGGGAGAGGCTGGTGTGGGGGACTCCCTGGTCCTGAATGGGGTAACTGTGCCCCTGAAGGACCAGGTGCGCAGCCTGGGAGTCATTCTGGACTCACAGCTGTCCATGGAGGCGCAGGTCAATTCTGTGTCCAGGGTAGCTCCATCTGGTACGCAGGATGAGACCCTCCCTGCCCGCGGACTGTCTCACCAGAGTAGTGCATGCTCTGGTTATCTCTTGCTTGGACTACTGCAATGTGCACTATGTGGGGCTACCTTTGAAGGTGACCGGAAACTGTAATTAATCCAGAATGCGGCAGCTAGACTGGTGACTGGGAGCGGCTGCCGAAACCACATAACACTGGTCTTGAAAGACCTACATTGGCTCCCAGTACGTTTCCGAGCACAATTCAAAGTGTTGGTGCTGACCTTGAAAGCCCTAAACGGCCTCAGTCCAGTATACCTGAAGGATCATTTCCATCTCCATCTTTCTGCCCAGACACTGAGGTCCAGCGCCGAGGGCCTTCTGGCGGTTCCCTCCCTGCAAGAAGCCAAGTTACAGGGAACCAGGCAGAGGGCCTTCTTGGTAGTGGCACCCGCCCTGTGGAACACCCTCCCTTCAGATGTGAAGGAAATAAGCAGCTATCTTATTTTTAAAAGACATCTGAAGGCAGCCCTGTTTAGGGAAGTTTTTAATATTTAATGCTGTATTGTTTTTAACACTTGATTGGAAGCCGCCCAGAGTGCCTGAGGAAACTCAGCCAGATGGGCGGGGTATAAATAATAAATTATAATTATTATTATAATTATTAACTTGTGATAGACTGAACTAGGGCCTTCTGCACGCAAAGCAGATGTTCCACCACGAGGCTACGCCCTTCTCAGGCAGGAATAAAGCGAGACTCCAGTCCTCGTGGTTACGGACAAAAATGGCTGGTTTAAAGAGGGGCATAGGAAGCGGCCTTTCAAGCAGTCAGGCCGTTGCTCCATCAAGCTCAGCACTGCTTGCTCTGACTGCCAGCGGCCCTCCAGGCTTTGTCAGGTGCTTCTGCCAGCCTCACCTGGATATCGAACCTGGAGGTCTGCCGGTGAACTGTTGTCCTTCCACTAGACATACTCAGTGGACATACAACGGTGTCAATCACACAACGGTGTCACTGTTTCCTATCAGTTTCCCAGCAACGGGGAAAATAATAAAGCCGATCCAAACTTCTCTGGAAGTCCACCTCCCTGAATCGAACAACCATAGAATTCTGGTGTCCAAGGGGACCTCAAAATGTCATCTAGTCCAGCCCCTTGCAAATGCCAGGGACTCCCTGCAAAGACAGCGAAGCCTAGTGAAATCTTTGCACATGCCATGGCAGATTTGCGCCTCTGGGGGAAAAATTGCAGCGCGTCGGCTGCCACCAGAAATTCCCCGGAGCTCAGAGCCTAGGAAACCAGCCCCCTCCTGGGGAAGAAATATATACAGATGCCTGACCAATCCCATAATCTACAGCTCATTATTTCAATCCTCTCTAGATCATTAGCGCAACAAGATTTGCGGAGGGGAGCATAACCTCTCCAGCAGAGTTCACGTTACGCGGAGTACGGTTCTTCGATGCGATGCAATAGATGGGGAAAAAGCACACTCCATTTTTCTCGGGTGGGAAGGGGAAAATTTGCTGGGGGGATGGGATGTTGAGTGGGAAAGGCTTAAAAATTCCCTCTTCCCAACACCACCCTGCAGCCTTAGTGGGACTGTGCTGTAGAAGCATATTGGAAAATCAGTGGTTTTCAACGAATATCTTAAAAACTCCACGGACAAGACAAATCTCCTGAGAGATATAGAATGAATCTAGAAAATAGAGGAATATATAGTAAAAATTGTAGAGAGGAAAAAAGTGGAAACCTAAATAATAAAAATGTGTATAGACCACCAAAATGTAAAATAGCACAATGAGAATAGTCAAACACTTGGGTGTATTCACATTGGGTATGTATATAGGTAAAGTATGTATTGTATGGGACGCGGGTGGCGCTGTGGGTAAAAGCCTCAGCGCTTAGGGCTTGCCGATCGAAAGGTCGGCGGTTCGAATCCCCGCGGCGGGGTGCGCTCCCGTTGTTCGGTCCCAGCGCCTGCCAACCTAGCAGTTCGAAAGCACCCTCGGGTGCAAGTAGATAAATAGGGACCGCTTACTAGCGGGAAGGTAAACGGCGTTTCCATGTGCTCGCCAGAGCAGCGATGTCACGCTGGCCACGTGACCCGGAAGTGTCTCCGGACAGCGCTGGTCCCCGGCCTCTTGAGTGAGATGGGCGCACAACCCCAGAGTCTGTAAAGACTGGCCCGTACGGGCAGGGGTACCTTTACCTTTACCTTTTATGTATTGTATGTAGAGTGGTACCTCTGGTTGTGAACGGGATCTGTTCCGGACCAGAACACAACCGGTGTCTGCACATGCACGGGTCGCGATTCGCTGCTTCTGCGCATGCGCGTGACGTCATTTTGAGCATCTGCGCATTCGTGAGCAGCAAAACCTGGCAGTAACCCTTTCCAGTACTTCCGGGTTGTCGTGGGACGCAACCTGAAAAGATTTAACCTGAAGCAAACGTAACAAGAGGTATGACTGTATTGTATGTAATGTACTGTATTCTCTATTCTTAAGCTTAATAATTTCCCAATAGTGATGGATGGAAGTGAGAGCTGGACCATAAAGAAGGCTGATCGCCAGAGAATGGATGC